TTAACTTGCACACTTAGGCGGCTGAAAGTGTGAGCTTTGGCCAGGCAACGAAAGGCAGGTAACAGGACTCTCACTCCCAATACACACATCACATACCACATGCACATATCACACATCTCACAAACCTCGCACACATCACACACATGACACCTCAAACACACCTCATACACATCACATACCTCTGATGTATCACACACACTGCGCTTCACACGCATCACACATATTACATCTCATCCCTCGCATATACCAACACACCTCGCTTATACATCACAAACCTCACATACACACCACACACCTCATGTACATGCCATCACCTCACACACATCACACCTCACACACACCTCACAAATGTATCATATACCTCTCATACTTACCACACACCTCAAAAACACCTCACACACATACCTCATATACTTACCGCCACCTCAAAACATCACACCTCACATACATATCACACACCACACACCTCAGACACATACACATTACACAGTATCATACATATCACACCTCACACATCTCACATCCATCACATATACAACACACACCTCACACACATCTAATATACATCACATACCTCACATGTGTATCACATTTCACATACATATCACATGTGTCATACACATTGAACAGATCTCACACACATCTCTTACATATACCACACACATTACACAGCTACACACCAAACACATCACATATACCGCTTTGTTGGGAGGTGGCGATTGGGCACACTCAGACATGCTCAGGACTTATTACTGGCTCTGTACTCAGGGAATCCCCACTGGTGGAACTCAGGGGACCACGTGGGGTACTGCGGATCCAACCTGGGTCAGCTGTGTACAAGGCAAGCGCCCTACCCACTGTGCTATCTCTCCAGTTCCTCCCACCTCTTAGACGCCTCACTCACATCTCACCTCACAAATCACACATCACATGAGTCACACCTCACATATCCATCAGGCACACACCCATCTCACACATATACATCAGACACTGCACACACATTGTGAGGCAGTGGCCCCAGCTCAGGGGGAGAGGGGGTCCACTCACCGGTCCCCCCAAACATCAGGCTTTCTAGAAAGGGCCCACGGTCACTCTCACCAACGGAGTGAGACAACCCTCTTCCTTTCTTTCCCCTGGTCTGACCGAATTGGCCTGGCTATGCCCTTTCTCCTCTCTCCCCGCCGGGAATGTGGGGGGCCGGAGGAGCCTTTTCTGGTTTGGGGGTGCCAGGCTGGGGTGCCACCCGGGCATCCGGGCCTCTGAAACTGGGGCAGGCAGCCGAGTGCCTGGGAGGCTGTGCCCACCCAGACGGTGTCACTGGGCAAGTCGCGCTCAGCTCCACAACCCTGCTCAGAGGCAGCTTCTATCAAGCTGCCCTCCAGCCCCCAAATCTCTCCATTTCTCTCCTTCCCCTCACTCACAAACCTGCAGCCTCCCCAAACTTTCACGGCAGCCTTCAAGAGGTCGGGCCTCCGCTTGGTATCCACGACCTGGCCCTGACTCCAAGCCCAGCCTCTTCTCACCCTGCTGGAGACCTGACCAGATCCCCAAGAAACAGAAGCAAACCCAGGGCTCCCCAAGTCCCTGACAAGTCCAAGAGCATTTCCCCCACCCCCTTCTCCACGCAGCACACCCCTGAGGGTGTTCAGACCTTTCCTTCCGGGAGGAAACCCGTCAGCTGCAGGCATCCCCGGGCAGCTATAGTCCCATCCTGGAGGTGGGGTGGGGGCGACCCCCTGCGGGCTGGGGGAACCCGGAGGCGCTGGCTGGGGTCTGAGAGCCACAGTCACTGGGCGCTGGGGCGCCCGCTGGTGGAGGGTGCGGGAACAATGCAGCCCAAACCCCCTGATCTCCCTGGGCGGAGCAGCCTAGCAAAGTCTCCCGGGATCGATTCCCGGTCCTGCATCTGCGCGAGGCCCGGCCTGGGGTAATGGGTGAGAGGTCCACGGGGTGGGCTGGACAAGCCGCTGCTCGGACAGACGAGCAGAGGGAGGACAGGCGGGGCGGCGGGGAGCAGATCCGCGCCCTTCTGCCTGCAGGTTCCCGGGTTCTTCCTCTCTCCCTCGCGAGCCCCACCCCGCTGGGCGGAACTGCCAGGAATCGCACCTGTGTACCCACCGTGCTGCTGGGTGGAGCCGCCAGGGGTCGCACCTCTGTGCCCACGTGCTTCAAATTGGGGCCGCCAGGGGTCGCACCTGTGTGCCCACGTGCTGCTGGGCGGGGCTGCCAGGGGTTGTACCTGTGTGCCCACGTGTTATCTTAGGTTTGGGGCCACATCCAGCAGTGCTCGGGACTGACTCCTGGCTCTGCGCTCAGGAATGCTCCTGGCGGGCTGGGGAACACACTCGGTGATGAGGATGGGACGCGGGTGGGCTGCGCACCAGGCAAGCGCCTGATCCCCGTTGTCATGACTCCGTGTCTCTCCCCTGCGTGCCCACCCAGAACACCTGGATTCTGAGCCTGGGGCCCTCAGTGCTCTCTGGGGCCCCTCACGTCTCCCGTTAAAGCAAAACACTGGGCCATGGCCATCGTCCTTACACAAATGGGCAACGCGGGACCCGGGACAAAGTCTTCTTGGGGGAAGAGGCGTCGTCACGCTTCTCTGGAGGAGAAAGCATTGGGGCGGTGCCTCGATTCCCGCGTGCAAGGCGCTGCCCGCTGACCCGCCCGCCCAGGTGAGCGCACACGTGGGCACACAGGTGCGACCCCTGGCTGCCCCAATTTGAAGCACGTGGGCACAGAGGTGCGACCCCTGGCGGCTCCACCCAGCAGCACGGTGGGTACACAGGTGCGATTCCTGGCAGTTCCGCCCAGCTGTGGGAGGGCACACAAGTGCGACCCCTGGCAGCCCCGCCCAGCTGTGGGAGGGCACACAGGTGCAATCCCTGGCAGCTCCGCCCAGCAAGCAGCACGTGGGCACACAGGTGCGACCCTTGGCGGCCCGCCCAGCAGCACGTGGGCACACGGGCGTGATCCCCGCTGGCTGGCGCCTCAATCTCCAGCCGGTGCCATCCCTCTCCGGCTGCCCAAGGGAAGATCTGTCCATGGAGAGCTCGGATGCAGCTGCCCATGGGACCCTCAAGGCCAGCGTACAGCTGCGGGACGTGGCCACACGCGCGCTCACCCTTGCGTTCCTTGCAGCCCCGCCAAGCGGGACGCCCTTGCTCTTCAGTTAGCGGAATGGCCACCAGGGGCAGCAGGCGGCCCGGGCAGGCAGCCAGTGGCCGCTAATGGCTCCTGGGGGCTCCGTGTGCTGGCCGGGGCCCTGGGCCGCTCGCACTCACGTCAGAGAGTGCCCAGGTGTGAGCAGGCACGTGGCCCGGGCGGGCAAGAGGGCAGCGTGCCGCAGACAGCGTGGGGGATGCATCGTCTTGTCCCCATCCCCCACCCCCACCCCGGGACGCGTGGCTCTGGGCGGAAGGCAGACCCAGGGACCCTTACCGTGACCAGCCACGAGGAAGCGGGCAGCTGAGAGGGCTTCCTGGAGGCCGGGCTCGGGCTGCGTGTGGGTGGGATCTCAGGGCCCACGGGTGGGCGGGGCCGCAGTCCTGAGCACTGGGGCCATCTCGGGACCAGCAGGCTCGGGCCAGCCCGGAGAGCTGGCGGCAGACCCAGGCCCGGAAGGAACTGCTGGATTTGCCGAGCACGTGGTCTGCAGGGCACGTGCGGGCCCAGAGCTGTGCCAGCGAGCCCTGCAGGAGAAGGGGCGGTGTCTGCGCTGCGTGGGGCCCTGCACTGGGCCGACCCCTGGCCTCTGCTAGGGGAAGGGGCCTCTGAGCTGAGTGGACCATGCGGGGGGAAGGAGGCTGCGGACCCGGGAAGCTGTCTGGGAAGCACAGTCACTTCCGGGAAGAGAGGCCAAGGCAGCGCACGCAGCATGGGCACTAACCCCAGGGTGGCAGAGGTGGTACTGAGCATCGCCCAGGCTCTCCCTGGCCTGCTGGGTGGGTGCCCTGGAGGGAGCCACTTTTCCCTGAGCCTCAGTTTCCCCTCCTGATGTGAACAGGACGCAGACACTGCACGGGAGCAGGTCGCAAATGAGGGAGGCAGCCCTGGGCTGGGCCCCCACTCAGGGCAGGTGGTACTTCTGGGAGAGCCCCAGCTCCAGGGCCTGGGCCTTCCCCGGACACAGGGAGCTAGGCCAGGGTTATTCACTGCCGGCTGGTGCTGGGGAATGAGCTCCTCTCCCTGCTCTTGTCCTTAGGTCTGAGCTAGATGCCCAGGGAGCTGGACTGCCCCGGTCAGACACAAACCCTCTGGCTGGAGGGCAGGCGGGGCAGAGAACACTGGTGGCCCATCTGGGACTTCCAGGACTATCCTCAGTGCCTGGCTTCTAGAGTCACAGCAGGAACCGCAGGTCCCCTCCCCGTCCCCAATAGAGACCATCTGGAGAAAGCTGCTCCTCCACCAGCTCTGGTTTGTGTCCTAGGCAGGGGTGCCATCCGTCCCCTGGGCTTCAGTCTCCCAAATAAACCAAGGGCTTGGGCCCCATGCTTTGGAGTCCTCCTGGGTCTGTGCTCCAGACACACCCAGAAGTGTCCTGAGCCTCCTTTGTGTTCTGGGGCCCTGGAACCTCCCTCCACCTATGCTCAGCCTGGTGGTGATGGTGTGTGTGGGGGAAGAGGGGTCCGGGATGGCATCCCCAAGGCTCTAATGTTCGACTGTGCCCACAGCTTCCTTTGAAGAAAGCAGCACTCCTGACAGTCTGCTTGAGCTACACAGGGTATATCCGCAAGGATGCCCCGGGAATGTGTAAGAGGGAACCCTGGGGGAACAGTGTGGATTTGGGGGGGAGGGGCAGTCTGTACAAATGGGTTATGGCAGAAGCAAGGTTTTGGGGTTTCCTGCACGTGCAGGTTTTAGCGTTCTCTCCATACAGACTTGACATCGGACGCATTTTCTCTTTTCCAAAATCATGTTATCATTTACTGGGTTTCTATTCTTTATCTTTTCCTTATAAGGTATCTTCATGTATTAAATATCTTTTCTTTCCCTAAATTTACAAAGGCCATCTGGTCAGTATTTTCCCTTATGGTTGGCTTCGAGTTTTCTCTTTGACTAGAAGGGTTTCTTCCATACCATGAAAATATTTACTCATTTCCTTTTTTAAGGAAATCTTTATTGTTTTTCCATTGTACAAAAGTGATACATGCTTACTGTTTTAAATGAAAGGGAGATAAATCTAGGCAGACTAAATAGAATTCTCTATCCAAGAATAAAATTTCTCTCCATTTATTCAAATTTTCTTTTAAGGACATTCTATTGGAGACATAATTTTTATATAAAGTTCATGGAAATTTATTCAGAGGAAAAAGCTATCCTTACTGCTGCTGGGAATGGGATATTTTCTTCCCTTTTGCTTTCTAATTGTCATTATGAAACCAGCAATTTGCAGACACTACTTTCTAACTGGTTGTCATTCCTGATGAAAAATTCATAAAATGGAAATAATTCTTTCCATGGGAATACTGCTGTATTTCTTCCTCGCCTGCTCTCCCATCCAGGTGAATTTTATGATCCTCAATCCATCTCTGCATCAACCCCAAGTTTCCTACATCTACCTCAGTCTCAGGATTTCCCTTCACGGTGGATGTTTTGATGCTGGCTAAGCTGGAAGCTAAACCTAAAGGCCTTTCCACACACATCACACACATGGGGCTTCTTCCAAGTATGGACCGTCTGATGGATGATGCAGTCGGAACTGTAGCTGAAGCCTTTGCCACATTCCACACATCGGAAGGGTTTGTCCCCTGTATGGCTTCGCTGATGCCGGATTAAATGGGCGTTAACGTGGAAGGCTTTCCCACACTCCTTACACTGGAAGGGTTTCTCTCCAGTATGAATTCTCTGATGCACGATGTAATCAGAACTACAACTGAAGGCTTTCTCACACTCCATGCACTTGAAGGGTTTCTCCCCTGTGTGTATTCTCTGGTGTCTCGTCAGTTTGGCATTGATGCTGAAGGCTTTCCCACATTCTTTACACTGGTACGGCTTTTCTCCAGTATGGATGCGGTGGTGATCCATGAGGTTTCTTTTCGACGCAAAGCATTTCCCACACTCATCACAAGCAAAGGGCTTCTCCCCAGTGTGAGTCCTCTGGTGCTGCATCAGTTTCGCATTGACGTTGAAAGCCTTTCCACACTCGTGACACTCGTAGGGCTTCTCGCCACTGTGGATTCTCAGATGCTGCCGAAGCTGGGAGTTGCACCGGAAGGATTTGCCACACTCAGTACACTCATAGGGTTTCTCACCTGTGTGGATTCTCTGGTGCTGGATTAACTTCCCCTTGGTGCTAAAGGCTTTCCCACATTCAGCACATGAGTGTGGCTTCTCACCCGTGTGGGTTCTTTGATGTTGCGTGAGTTTTGCATTATTACTGAAGGCTTTGCCACATGCCAGACACTGACAGGGCTTTTCTCCTGTGTGAACTCTCTGGTGTTGCCTCAGCTGGGAGCTACAACGGAAGCCTTTCCCACACTCATCACACTCATAAGGCTTCTCTCCCGTATGGATTCTCTGGTGTCGGATTAGCTTGGCATTAACGTTGAAAGCTTTCCCACAGTCATTACACTCAAACGGTTTCTCCCCAGTGTGGACTCTCTGGTGTGTGATATAGGCAGAGCTGCAACTAAAGCCATTCCCACACTCCTTGCACTGATAGGGTTTCTCCCCCGTATGGATTCGCTGATGCCGACTGAGGCTCCCATTGATACTGAAGGCTTTCCTGCACACTGGACACTGATAGGGCTTCTCCCCACTATGCACTGTCAGGTGTGTGAGGTAATGGGAACTGTAACGGAAGCTTTTCCCACACTCCGCACATCTGAAGGGCTTCTCGCCACTGTGGAGACTCTGATGCCATGTTGATTTTACATGAACGCTGCAAAAGGCTTGACCACACTCCTCACACTGGGAGGGCTTCTCCCCAGCGTAGCAACTGGGAAGCTGATGCAGTGGAGAATTACACCTAAAGCTTTCCACCAACTCTTCACGTTTGAAAGGTCCTTCCCTGGTATGAATGATTTCATGCTGACAATGTTTTGTGTCAAAGCTGAAGCCCTTCTCCAGCTGTGCACACTCAGAAGACAGCTCCCGGGAGCAGGCCTCATCCTTCACTGATACAACAATGACACTGTAGTTTTCTTTCTCCCTGCTTGCTACTACGTGTACTTCCTGGTATTTCCCTAGAATGCAGGGTTCTGCAAAGTTAGTTTTCTGAGAAGAGTTCCTCTGAAGTTCAAAAGACATCTCTTTTTTTCCATACATTTCCTTTGTTAAATTATTGACAGTAGGGGTACCAATACTTTCTGCAAAAGTAGAAAACATTAAGTGTTGTGTAAGTAACCATGTTGGAAAAAAATACTTATGCTAAAAAGAATAAAAGGGTACAGTAATTAAGGGGCTCTTCAGTAGCATCAGACTAGATCAAAGAACCCAAGGTTCAAACATAAGGAAGAATTAAAATGAAGGTAGGAAGAAATAAATCCATAAATGCAAACCAGAAAAGATCCAACTGAACAACAACAAAAAAATTCTCTTTTATAGATGAGAAACAGAACGTAGAGTGGCTTCCATTGTATATACAGAAGATTTTAAAAAAAAAACTGCTTATAAGTATAAAGCAAACAATTTCTAGAATACTACATGAAATTGACTAAATGGCACAGGAAATCTAGCAGAATTTCCTCCATATACACTTTATTTTTTGGCAAGTGCCATTAAAGTAATGATCTGAGCAGTCAGCATCTCTGGCTGAAATAAAGCACAATGACAGAGCATAAGCTTCTGACAGTCGCCAGCACCAAAAAAATAAACAGAAAAATATGGTAATACTCCATCCTGCATCAGTTACTTTATTTACCCATTCTTCCCATACTGAGAACTCTGGCTGTTTCCAATACTTTGATTTATGCAAAATTATGACTAACTTTTGTTATTCACTGTGTGACTGTCAACATCTCTAATAACTTCAGGGAAAGCCCAGGTTATCAAGACAAGCCTGCAAGGTTCTTCATAGATGCTGCAAAGACCCCTTCAGAAAAGACTATCCATACACAAATACCAACAATAATGTTTTTGCAGCAGTCCTGTCGCCACTGTTGTAGATACTTTTATCTTTGGGGGATACAGCCAGTGGTGCTCAGGGCTTCCTCCTGACTCTATGTCCAGGGATCACTCCTGGCAGTGACTGGCAGACAGTATGTGGTGCTGATCAAACCAGGATCAGCCGCATGGAAGGCAAGTGCCCTCCCTGCTGTATTATTGCTCCAGCCGCAAATTGCTTAAATTCTAGCTGGGACTCCTGAGAATGTTCTTTGGTTTTGGGGTTCGCACCTGGCAGTACTCAGGGATTATTCCTGGCTCTGTGCTCAAGGATCACTCTGGTGGGGCACCATAGATCATATGGAATGTCAGGGATCGAACCCAGGTTGGACAAGCACATTGCAAGTGCCCTACCCACTGTACTATCTCTCCAGCCCCAAAAATATTTTTAAGAAAAAACAACCCTGCCGAATAGGAAGCCTTGTGCCATGTACCTGCCCCTTCTACCCACCCTGTGCACACACGATTCCTCACCCAGTTTGTCTGTTCGAACTGACCGATGTTTCTACCCTCAGCTAAGTACAACAATAGTTATTCAAAAACTGGAAAGACTTAAGAAATGACGAGGGCTAAGGATAAAATCCAGACTTCTGTACTTAAGAACCTCAACAGTATCACCTTATCCTCACTTTTTTTTTAATTGCTATTTTTTATTTTATTTATTTGTCTTTTTGGGTCACACCCAGCAATGCACAGGGGTCATTCCTGGCTTGGCACTCAGGAATTACTCCTGGTGGTGCTCAGGGGACCATATGGGATGCTGGGAATTGAACTCAGGTTGGCCACGTGCAAGGCAAATGCCCTACCCACTGTGCTATTGCTCCAGCCCCCGTATCCTCACTTTGTGTCAAGAACTGTCTTCTGCTTGCTTTGGTTTGTTGTCCACGCCCAGCAGTGCTCAGGCTACTCCCAGATTGGTGCTCAGGAGTTGCTCCTGGTGGTGCTCAGGAGCACTAAGTGAAGCCAGGGAGAGGACCCAAATAATGTAATCCACTAATTTTGTTAGAAAAAAAAAGAGATTTTGAGTAATTAGGAAAAACATGAGAATAAAGCATCTGAAAAATGGTTGTCCTTTGAATGAGAATGAAATGGCAAAACTGCAAAAATAGGAAGATTTCGGCTGTGCCAATTAAAACTTAATTTAGATTTCACAGTGTGTAGCTGGCCACTAAATGCAGTACCCTGGGTTGGGGAGTGTGACTCTGCTGAGGACCTGGTCCAGTTCTGGCACATGTCTTGTAGGCATCCCCCTGTAAGGCCTAAGGACAAGTAATCGACAAAGTGGCCTGCTTATATGCCACTGCCTACTTTCTCACTGAAGTGTCCACCTTTGCCTCCTTTCGGGCCTCCCAGGCTTCCTTACCTCTGCAGAGGCCTCCTGCAGCCATCAGCGCTCCACCTCCCTCCAGCTGGGAGACCACGTCAGGCCTGAGGATGGGAAGTCCTGTTTGGAAAAGGAGGGGGGCAGGTGAGCAGTGTCCCCCAAAAGAGCTCCTGATATCTTCCCGGAGGGTCTTGGCAATGGGGAAGGAAGCACAGAGCCCCCAGCATCTGTGCCTCGGGATGACGGGGATCTGGGGGCAGGGGTGCTGGGGGAGTGCAGAGGGTTGGGAAGGCTCCGGCTGTGGGCTCCAAGGGCAATGGGGGAGTCTGGCCCAAGGGATCTTTTGAGAACACAGTGACCCATGGGGAGGCTGGGGAGGTGTAGGAGGGGTGCACTGCACCCGAAACCCAGCGAAATGCAAGTCAGTCCCACATGAACACACATCCCAGATGAGGGCTCCCAGTTCGCCCTGCCCAGCAATCCCTAATTTTGGGGGGTCAGGAATTTCAGCGCCACCCCACCCCACTCCTGGGCTTTCCATACAGTAAAGGATGAACAGCCAATAAGGGGAAGCCAGGGGACCCCAATCCAAGCGTGGGACCCCAGGGAAAGGCTCACCCAGGGCAGCCACATTCCGGAAGTTCTCCAGCATCACGTCCCTGTAGAGGATCCGCTGTGCCAGGGACAAGCCAGCCCACTCCGCCTGGGTGAAGTACACGGCCACATCCTCGAAGGTCACCGACTTCTGAAACAACAGGGTCCTGCTGCCCTAGGGCCAAGTGCAGGGCTCCGGCCCTAGGTGGGGGGCAGAGGGCAGCATGAGGGCTGGGGAGTGTGGGAGGAGACACCACCACCGGGATGGAGACTGGAGGGAGACGCAGGCAGACAGGCCCTTCTCGCGGTCACTCCACTCCCGGTCCACCCTGTGCGCAGGCATCCACAGCTGGGGTGAACCTCTACACCCTGCAGCCACCACCAGCAGCCCACTGCACCCTCTCCAGACCCTGCTTCCCGGGCTGCTGGTTACACTGCACCCCTCAACCCCATCCCCACCCCCTCCCCGCCTGGAGCTGCTCCCAAAGTACAGCCAGGGGCTGGAGCAATACCACAGCGGGTAGAGCGTTTGCCTTGCACGCAGCCCGACCCGGGTTTGATTCCCGGCATCCCATATGGTCCCCTGAGCATGGCCAGGAGTAATTCCTGAGTGCATGAGCCAGAAGTAACCCCTGTGCATCGCTGGGTGTGACCCAAAAAGCAAAAAACAAACAAAATAACCCCCAAAGCACAGCCAGACCCCCCATGCCATGATGCTGCCCATTCAGTTCAGCACCCAGGGAGGGAGTCACCCTTCTGCTTCTAGTATCTTCACGAAAACCAACCCTCCTGGGTGGAGCCTACGAGAGGCCCGAGTTCAATCCCTGCTGGTGTGCTCTCCACCCACCATGAAGCCACCCTTGGCTCCTCTCCCCAGCTTCCCCGAGACGCTGCGGCAGGGCAGCGGCTTCCCTCAGGGCATTCCCATAGGACCTGATTTCCTGCTCTGTGGGCCTCACAGGCTCTGCCCCTGCCAGCCCGGTGCCCACCATCCAGGCAGCTGCAGCCTTTCACCTCTGCCCCCTTGGCCTCTGTACCAACCCGGGCGGGGGCACCCCAACTGCCTTTCAGCAACTGTCTGTCAGGATCTGTCTTCTGGATTCCTCTGACCTCCAGCCAACACAATTCTTGCCCAGCCTCTGGGTCCTCTGGGAGTCCCTCATGTGCGCCCTGGAAGAGATCCAGAAGCTTCTCTGCCCACCAATTACCGGGTGAGCAGGGGCTTCCTCTGGAACCCAGCCGGAGGCAGGAGGCCCCAGAACTTTGAGGATGGCTGGCGGCTGGTCCCCACTCCTCACGCCACCCCCGGTCCTTGGATGTGGCCATGCACCCCCCAGGGCTGGGTCTTGCCTGCATGACCACGCTGCTCATGACGACCCCCAGGGTCTGGGAATGGAGGAACTTCCTGCAGCGCTCGCCTTGCTTTGACGCCCCGAAAATGTTACTCCCGACACAGCTGCTCCAAGTCGGGCCTCATCACTGGTGCCCACGCTGTCCCAGGACTGAGCAGTAACAGGCACTGGATGACACCGTCAGCGGACAAGTCACCTATCCATTTCCCTTGCAGGTCCCAGAGTCAGGCAAGTGCTTGGATGCTACTCGGGGACAAGGGTCATGCTGCAATGAGCTACAGACTCCACGTGGGCCCCGTAACCAGCAGAAACTTGGTTTGTGAGCTCACATCTGCTGTGGATGGGCATCCCGGGTTCTGCAGAGAGGTCACAAGGTGCCCTCAGTCCCCCTGGCCCCTTGGTCTTTCCCTGCCTCGGGCCCACTCCCCTGTCCAGCAGCCACACCCCGCGCACCCCAATGCTGCCCTCCCTCCTCCGGGGCGGGCGCTGCATGGAGTCAGTTCCTCGGCTGTGCCCCTACCAACTGCCCCTCAGCGCAGGCGCCCCGTGCCCTTCTGCGCAGCTGCCAAAGCCAAGGACGCACAGCTCACCTGGGGCCGGGCTGGCAGGAGCAAGGTCGCCATCGCCTGCACACCGGTCTGGAGCTGAGAAAACAGACAAAGGTGAGACAAGACGCGGAGCCAGAACAATCCAGAAGGTCGGGCCCCAGGCAGCCCGTCCAGAAGAGAAGGGCAAGGGCTGCCACAGGAAGGAGGGATGGCACAGGGCACCGACTGTCATCAGCCACCAACCTTGGCAATCTGACACTACCATATATACTCCACACATAGCCTACAGAAACATCCCCCACACATACACACATAACACACACACACACTCCACACATATACATACACCACACACTCTACACACATCACACTCGCTCCACACATATACCACACACACTACACACAGAACACACACATATACATTCATCACACACAACCACACTACACCCCGCACACATCCACCATATATACATACCCCACACATCCACACCCCACACACATCCCAGCATTATATTCCCCACCATATACACACTACATCCCACACCCCACACACATACACCATACATACACACACTATCTACACCACATACATACCTCCCCGTATCCCGTACCCCACACCACACATACCATCTTACCATATACATACCAGACACATACAACATATACTACACACCAACACACCTCATACATACACCCCATATATATATATATACACCACACACAGATCACACCTTACACCCCACACACATACACACACAGACACACACACACATCACAAACACCCCCATATCCTGCCCGTTTCCCCGACAGCTGAGTGCCTTCCAAGGTCCCCATGCTGCCAGAGAGATGGTGGGAGGCCCCGAGGCTCTGGATGCTGGGTCATAAGTGGGGGCCAGAATCGGGAGGCGGTCTGGAGCACAGCACCTGCCTTACATGTGGGAGGCCCTGGGTTCCATCCTGGAACTGCCAAAATACAAAGGGGCGGGGGTTCTGACTAGTCCTGGCCCCCCAATTCCTGAGGTGACTGAGAAGGCTGTGAAGCCAGGGCTCTCAGGGTACTGGAGAGCCTAGGACAGTAGGAGGGTGGCTCACCCAGGTCGGAATTGCGGGGATGGTCCCCACATGTACAGCCATGAGACCCCAGGGCTCTCAAAGTTCCTGCAGGCTGGACTGAGCTACCTGTGGGCACACATGCCCCAGCACTCTGCCCGCTGTCATGGCTTCCCTGCCCCCATGCCCACCCTTCCTGTCCCCCAGCTTACACTACCCAAGATGCTTTTGTGCACACAGGCGCACATCCTCGGCTGCAAGCGGCCTCTCGAGCTTCTCTAGGTCTCCCCATTTATTCACTCAGCCTCCTTTCCCATCTGACCTAAGACACGCCAGGCCCTAAGCACAGGCACTGTGTCCCAGAGATGTGCATCTCCTGGTTGGGTGACTCAGGACTCATTTCTAACTGATTCTCACTTCCAACAAAGGACAAAGATGATTGGGTGGACATCGCTGTTCATAGCCTCTGGCCTTACTGCACGGTGTTCACATAAACTGATCTGTTTACCTCTGACTCACTGTGAGGCTGTTTTTTGGTTTCTGCTGCTGCTATTGTTACTGTTTCTGTTGGTGGTGGAAGCACCAGAGAGAAAATACTTCAGGCTGTCCTGTGCCTCAGTGGTACAGGATAAGCTTCACCTCTATGAGAGGCTCAAGCCTCAGCTCGACCTCAAAAAAAAAAAAATCTATGGATAATCTGAACACCTATTCCAGGATGGAAGGTCAGAGCATTCCATCTGAACCTAGCCAACTCAACCAATTTAATAACAAGCTTCTTCTCCATAAAACATGATTGCAAGTTAGCCAGGAAGGAACTTCACAAAACACTGAGCTCATGTAGCCCCATGGGGAAAATTATATCAAACATAAAGATAAAAATAGATTACAATTTGGAGAGTCCTGAAGGGAATTTTGGGCCACTTCTGGCAATCCTTGGGGCACCATATAGTGTCAGGTATCGAACCCAGGGGCCAGCATGCAAAGGACACGCTGCAGCCCTTTGAACGATCCCCACAGCCCCTGGAACACAATTTAAACTGTATCAGGGAACAGCAAAGTCCACTTCCCAGTCCTTCTTATAAGCACAGGCCAGTCTCAATGAATACCCCTGCAAAATCCTAAAATGAGTGATAAGCTCTGCTGGGTCTATAAAGTGAACAACCGTGACTAAGAGATCACTCTCCAAAACCGAGTAAAGCTCAGTATTAAATATGGATGATATGCTTTCCACAGAGATAAATTAAAGATACACACACATAATCTCCATCATAGATGCCAAAGGCATTTAATATGTCGACAGCAGGCTGGAAAGAAAGTACGGTGGGTATGGTGCTTGCCTACATGTGGCTGACCTGGGTTTCCATCCCAGCACCCTCTGTGGTCCCCTGTTGTGCCCCGTCCACCACCCCTGCCCCGGCAAAAAAAAAATAAAGTCAATGCCAAGTCCCAATTTTAAACTTAGACTCTAAGAAACTCTCATACAAATAAGATACAAACAAAATTGTTTCAGTTAGTATTTTAATAGCAAAAGGAACTGGAAGCAATCCTCATGCCCACTGAGAACGCAGAAGTTGTTGATTCCTGCTGGAACGGAACCCAGCAGCCAAAATGAACAACTCACAACTGCACATAATGTGGATGTGAACAGAAACACAACCTGACCTATGAGAGTTCCCGATTACCACTCACACTGTGATACCATTTTCATGATACACAAACACTTTAACTACAGACATGTGATAAAAATGAGTTTAAAAAGAGGCTACAAATAACACAAAGTCCAAGATACCTCTAAGGCCGGGAGCTGCATGTGTGTTCACGGGTGATCCTTTATCACTATGCTGTTAAGCGTCCTGCCAGAAGCAAATGACATTTAATAAAGATAACATATTTCTTGCTATGATTTAGGGTGACTTCAAAGTGCAGGGTCTGAGCGGTACAGCAGGTAGGGCATTTGCCTTGCATGTGGCTCATGTTCAAACCCCAGCATCCCAAATGGTTCCCCAACCCCACCAGAAGTGATCCCCGAATGCTGAGCACAGTAAGCCTTGAGCACTGCTGGGTGTGCTTTGTTCCACCCCCACGCAGCCAAAAAAAAAAAAAAAAGCAAAATGCTAAAGTTAACTATCTATCTTTCATTTTAAGAAGAATGAAAGTAGAGCATGCAGAGCAGTTTAAGAAAATACACATGTGGGTTGGGGCAACAGAACAGTAGATAGCACCCAGCACCCCATATGGTCCTTTGAGCCCACCAGGAGTGATTTCTGAGTGCTGAGTCAGGAGTAACCATAAAGCATTGATGGGTGTGGTTCAAATATATATGTGTGTGTGTGTACACCCATTTTTGCAGAGAGAGAGACAGAGCGTGTGCGAGAGCACAGAAACTGAGAATGGTTGCCTCTAGGGTGAGTGGGTAGTGAGTGCGGAAGGAGCCCAAGAGAGAAAACAATGGAAGAAAATGGGGTAGAAAGGCAGAGAAAAAGAGACACTTGTCTAAGTGAGCTTCTGTGTAACTGCGACTTTAATCCTAGTCATGGCACAAGGTTCAAATACACAGACTTGAAATCAACCACCCAAGAGGAGGAGATGGGGAGGACACAAGAAGGAAGAAAATTCAGCAAATGTTTCATACATGAATGTTAGTATTTCTCCCACTGAAATAGTGAGAAATAAACTTCAGAAAACTGCTTTGCTCTTGGCTTGGTTTTGGACCATAACTCATGGAGTTGGAGACTAGTACTCTGTGCTCTGGAGTCCCTCTCGGTGGCACCTCAGGGCCTATGCAGTACCAGGTATCATATCCAGCCTTTCTGGATACAGAACATGTGCTCAGTCTTCTGAGTTACCTATGACTCCAGAAACAGTATTAAAAAAAAAAAATCTATGCTCTGGGCTACTCCCAGCTCAGTGTTCAATGACCAAGCAGTTCCAGGGATGGGCGTATTACCAACAACTCCCGCACTTCAGTCCTCTGAGCTAGCTCCCCTTTCCAGAAAACCGTATTTGGGGGGGTGGGAGAGTTCGCTCAATGGTATGCGGATGGATTCCCTGGAGTCAGGTGTGGTCCAAAACAGAAAGAAATCAAACCAGTATTTTCAATAAAACCAAAGACCTAAAGACCGGGGCCCGAATAGTGTGCACCAGCTACCAAACTTGCTTCTCACAAGATGCCAACGCTGGAACCCTCCCACATCTATTCTGGGATGTGCAAACCGTCACCGCAGTGCAGAAAGCAAGCATTAGCCTGGCCCTGTCATCTCACACCTCATGCTCCTGTGCTGACACTGCAACTGACCCAGCTACCGCTGCCCGCCTTCTACCTGCCGGGTTCCGTCTGCTGCCCGGATGCTCAGGGCATCTCTGCGGTCTCCCAGCTCCTACCTGGCCTGACTCACGAGCCTGTGTCGGGAGCTGGGGAGCACCCGGCCCGAAGTCCCCGGGGAGCTCCCAGCGATCAAACCAGATCCAAAGACCCGTCAGCTCTCACCGCTGCATCCCGGGACACACCCCACCTCCCGACTGCACCCACACTCCCAGCCCAGAGCCCTGGGACATCCTGCGGGAACCGGTCAACGGTCACCGGCCGGAGGCTTCGGGACAGTGATAGGAACCCGGGTTTCGCCTTCCACGGGATCCGACGGATTCGGCCCGCAACGCCGACCTGCTCCGCTCCCCCGGCCCGGGGCAGCCCGCCGCAGCCAAGCGTGTGTGCCAGGCCCACGACGCCCACAGCCTCCGGGCCCAGACACCCATCCCGCCGCCACAGCCCCCGCACTCACCTGTGCGGCCGGCGGCTCCGCGGCGCAGCCGGAAGCGCGTCACTAGCCGGGGCCGAGCCTCTCTAGGAGCCGCGGCGCGCCGTCTCGATGCTCTCGGCCGGGCCCCTGCGGGCGCGCAGCCTTTGCTGCGAGGTCCCGTTGCGCCTGGCGCCTTTGTGGTTCTACCGAGAGCGTCATCCCAAAAGGCAGAAGCCCCTCGAGAAGGCAAGAATAAGAGGCAAACCCTGGGCCCGTGCCAGGGATCCAGAATCTCAGTCAAGTTGCAATTGCTTACAGATCGGGGAGTCTCTGGATTGGACCCGGGGGATCAGCGATGTCAGCCCCCAACTCCCAAGTAGTTGCCGAAGAGCAGTTTATTCTCCTGGCATGAAACTTGTCGATAATGGCTTGAAGACCCGACGTAATAAGAACCTACATGTTTAAAAGTAATGATGTGCAGTGATTGTAATATCAGAGAGGGAAATGATTTCTAATTAGAAATGCCTATTTCAGGGGCCAGAGTGATGGTAGAGAGGATAGGGCCCTTGCCTTGCACCCACCCATCCGAGTGCCATCCCTGGCACCACATATGATCCCCCAAGGCCGCCAGGAGTAAGCCTCAAGCACTGCCAGCTGTGGTCCAAAACAAACAAACAAAATACCTATTTCAGGGCTAGAGAGATAGTACAGCAGAGAAAACACTTACTTGCCTTGCTCGTCGCTGACCCAGCTTCGATCCTTTGCACTGCATACAGTTCCCAGAGCACTGCCAGGAGTGATCCCTGAGCACAGAGCTGGGAGTAAGCTCTGAGCATCGCCGGGTGTGGCCCCAAATTTTAAAATAAATACTTATTTTAGTATAAATGTGTTTGACCTAATGAAGTGGCAGATTATTTGTCTCAATGGAATGCACCTGAATGCCCTGGTCAAAATGCTACACTTTGTGTCTCCATGTTTCAAAAGTCAGAAGACATGTTCTAAGATGGAAAGCAGTTTTTGATAGTTCTGAGGGAAATAGCACAATGTTCTCTTGATTAGAAGAATAAATTTATTCCTGGATAATGAAAATATGTTAAAAACTCCAAAAACTTGATGAGATGTATATAGAGATGATTCTATAATCATGTTATTTATGAGCACTTTTTACTTTCATGACTAAATGTCCAGAAAACATCTATAAAAACTCGGATTCTGGCTCTGTTCATGCTTATTCCTACTCTGTGCTCAGGGTCACTCCCGGCAGTGCTTAGCAAGCACCTGACCCAGTGTATTAACCCTCCAACTCAAAAACTTTTCTTTTCCAAAAGGACTAAAAATTAAAGAATAAAGTAGGGGCAAGGAAGGTATGTCAGACCACTAATGAGTTAAAGGCTAAATGACATAATTGTGTAGCTTACAGCTACTGTTTTAAGACAAAAATATAATTAGTGTTCCACTTCAGGCACTGCAAGAAATGTAATCATTTAGAGATCCAAAATATAAGACAATATTATTTCCAACACTATTTTTAAAAACAGCTTACAAGAAAGTTTACCCTGATGCTGAAGGGAACAAGAACTGAACTCTTAACTTATTGCCTAACTTATCTGGAATTTAACCCAGCTTTTAAAAATGTGGTCGCCACACATAGTTTTTAAAAAATACCATATAGAGTTTGACTGAGAGTGTTACAATAAGGCCTGGAAGTCATTCCTGCCTCAACAAATGTTTTCTGTCCTTCTCCACCAATTACCCTTCTGCCCTTGATAATGAAAGAATAGTGAGCACCGAAGTTTGTAGCTCTGACACTACCTTTACTTAGCATAAGAGGGATAAGAGTACCAGACCTCTGCAGAAGTTTGGGGGTTGCCTGACTTTCCTGGAAATTACTAACAGCAAGTTTCAGAAGTTTGTGCCATAATTCAAGTAAACCCAATGCCCTGTCTGTTTTTGAAAAGAAGTTGCTAATGAGGGTCGTGTCACGTGAGGAGAGGATATGAGTTCAGGTGCTCTGTCAAATGAAAAGAACATACCCTGTCTTCCTCACTTTTTAATAATATCAGCTTCTTAGAAATTTTTATTGATTGAGATTCTGTGGCTTACTATATTATTAATATATATTCCCACACACATAATTCCAACACCACACCCATTGCTGGCGTACCCATCTCCTCCTCCCAAGAACCCCAAAGCCCCTCCCTTTTAACTCCCAAAACTCAACAGCATGGATCATTTCTCCCATTATGTTTCCTTTGACCCTTTGTTGCTCCCTTGTGTGCAGCTTTAAGTTCCACGTAGTGAGAGATCAGTCTGTATCCGTCTCTGCCCTGACTCCACTCGGCATGCAATATCTGCCTTTTAACCTGTGTCTCAAAACACTGAGTAAAAATGCTGCATTGCTTATATACAGCACAGTCAGTTACCATGTGCTTCTCCCTGATTCCGAGGCTACTTTCCTCCAGAGTAAAGGAGGCCCTGCACCCCGGGGAACCTGGTGATCAGATCTGATGCTGAAGGCCCCTTGAAGACAATTCTGAATCCCTGGAAAGAATCATCTCGAGTGGTGCTTGAGGGGTTTGCACACGCAGTAGTCAGAAGTCCCCAGAAATTAGTTTGGTGTGTGATGCGTTTGTATGCTAACAACGCATCTGCAGCAGGAAGAGGGAAGTGGGCGCTGTCTGAGGTGCTGGCGCGACTCCGCCTCCACCCTGTTCCTGGAACTCTCCAAGGTACCGCCTCTCAATCAGACGCTGCTCTCCCGCCAGGCAATGACCTCTGTCCCTGAATTTTAACCGTGGTCTTCGGACATTATTTCACTCTTTCTCTGAATTCACCTGGTCAAACACTGATATACCACATGATTCTCTGGATCCTGATTTTTCAATATCTCAAAAGGCCAGAGAGTTCCAGGGAAGAGAATTTGTTGTAGATCAAATGACCTACAGAAGCTCTTCTGATAACTTATTCTTCATCTAAAAAATTTCTGTAAGTTATTTATTCTTAGAGGTAAAAAAGAGGTTGGAGTGATATTACACAAGGTAAGGTGCTTACCTTGCATGTGGCTGACCCTGGTTCAGCCCATGACACCCGTATGGTCTGTGGAGCACCACCAGAAGTGA